CCCCAAACCCCAAGTCTCAGACAGATGCTTTTTTTATGATTTTCCAATTCATCACATCTCTCTGTTTCCTCACCAATCATCGTGTCTCTTGAGCTGCAACAAGATGTTGCTGAAAATGTAACAACAAAGGAAACATTGAAAATGATAAGGGAGACGAATCAAGGTCATCTGCAGTTTACCTCTCAGTGGAGACAGCAGAAGGGAAAATATGAGACAAAAAGAGGAAAAAAGATCAAAGATAGAAAGAAAAAGGGGTGTAGGAGGGGAGGGAAGAAGATCAATAATCCTGAAAAAAGAATTTTTTTTTATAGCCCAAAACTTTAAACGGAAGATAGTTATCTTTTATATATCGTAATTGATTTTTCCTGATTTGTTTTCTAGCAAATATCAGCAAAAATCTCTATTGATTCCTCTTCCTCTTTTTTCAAAAAGAAGTAACACATATTTAAAATATTTTTTAAATGGGTTTCTACTGTCAGAAGATTCACATATTACTTTATTTTTGTGCTCATGCAAACCACCCCCTCCATCTAGCCCTCAATTCCCTCCTTTGCAGACAAACCATCTTTCTAGGGGGTCCTGGGGGCCCTCAGCATTTTGACAACCCTCTGATCTGGCAGGAAAAGACTCAATCACTGTAACAACACCCACTCCACCACCTCAAGTGCATCTTTTTTTCTCCTTCTTTTTCTTCTTTTCTCCTGTCACCACTTGGGATACCATCTCAATAATCTCAATGTGCCTAATATTTTGTTGGCTTAGTGTGCTGTTTCTGACACCATTAATTATATTATATTGATTTCATTAAAGAAAATCAAATCAATAAAATACATTTTAATTAGAGCAGGTGACGAAAGCACGTAACATATTATATGAAATTAAACCTTTTTTTTTTGTAGGTACACAAACCCTGGCACATTTAGAGTGGCTTTAAACTTCCTTGCCAATTTCCAAGTCAATTAGGCAGAGGTGGACTTTCTGGTATTCTAATGAGTTTGTTTACAGTGCTATAAATAGTTTTCCCCAAGGGAGCGCTATCTGTTTTTTTGTTGTTCTTTTTTTTTGACCTGCTTTGCTGTATTCCCTTGAGTGCCATACATATCTTGGTATAGGTGTATTTATCTGATCTTTGTGACAAATGCGGTGTGTCCTTCATTTTTGGAACCCAGTTTTAGATGATACTCAGAAAATCAAAATGAAAATGCACAGTGTGCTACTACTGGATTGATTATTGTGTTATGAGCTGTAGTTTGACCTGATATGGTTTGGCTTTGTTTCCCGTTCGCTGCACTAATGTGCTCAGGTTTCACAGTAGCTGAGGGAATCACATTTTTATAAACATGAGTTGCGGTATCTGAAAGTCGCCATTAATAAAGCACATTGTTTCCTTGGGCCCTCTGCACTCTCCAGCTCTAATGTACCTTTACTCTCTGTAAGTCTTTTTACCCATCAGAGCTAGTCACAACAGTGCCTGCAGTTTTTCCCTACACCCTCTACAGTTGACTGAGCATTTTAAAGCCCAACGCAGAGCATTTAATATGATTTGATCCAATTGAAACCATCAAGTCTAATCAAATCTAATGTTACGTTCTGCTGCATGGTACATCTGCTACAGGAAATAATGATGGAATTAGCCAGAAACATTGCTAGCTCAAAATAATAAAAAAGGACAGTGAAGCAATGACTGCTGATGATAGCATGAACAATGAACAAAGGCTGGTGTCTGTTGTGAAAATGCAGTTGCCAAACTGTTTCTGAGACCGTAAAGCATGCAGACCATTGTGCACACACACTCTGACATGTCTGACATGCTTCAGACTCTGTAAATGGTGCAATAGTGTATGCTTGAAAAGACAATATACATAGTTGTAGGACTAGTTCACTATGACATCAGCTGGCTGTACATAAAACAGAAACTGTGATACCTGGTGGTGTTTATTCTCCTGTTTTCCTTAAACTACAGTATGATGTGAACTCTAATGACATCTAGGACACGAAAATATTACAAGTGGTTCATCATCACTTATTGATATGTTTGCTTCTCCCTTGACTATTCTTCTCCTCTCTGTCAGGCCAGCCAACTTGTTGTTGGACAGAAGCAGTTCAGAGGTTCCCTCAGTGGGAACAATGGGCGACTGGATGGATGGAATGAGGACCTTGCCCTGCAAGGAGGCCTTCTCTGGGGTCAGCTACAGCTCCTGTGACACACTGGCCAAAACCTCCACAGAGTAAGGCAACAACACACAGAGACACACACATTAGGCTTCTTTGCCTATTCATGTCAGCAGTGTTTACAGGGCCCAAGTATCAGAGGTAAGGCCCAGGAATTTGAAGAGACTCTTGGTGAAGAACAAGCACACACATTCTCTTGTTCTCACTAAGTAAAGAAAGCTATAGAGCCATTACTAAAGGTGTCCAGATGAGACTCATGGTAACTCATAAAGACAGGTCTTTAGCTATGCTTTCAATGCTGCAAGTATGACCAGAGGGGAAGGTGAGAGCATTGAAAGAAAGAGAAAAAAAAAGAGAAACCAAAAAAAAAAGAGAAAGAGGGTAGAAGAGTTGTGAGTTCCATGAGGGAAAGGGAATAAGAGAGACGCTATTGAGAGAGAGAATGAAAGGGGAGATTTGACAAGATAAAAGAGTAGCGAGAGGGGCCTTTGAAAGAGAAAATGAAGGCATAGCTGTCAAGTAGGTGTGCAAAGACATGGCATTCTCTGTGCTGTAAAGCATTAAAATGCAAAGAATAGAGCAAGGATAGATTGCTAGAAAATTATTTGGCAGCCACATCCAGAGAAATCACAACTGGCGAGCACACAATATAGGACCTACAGTATGTTCACTTGGTAAGAAAGTAGGTCCTACAGTGTGTATTGTTGTTCGGTCCCTTTCTTTCCCTCTCCCTGTCCTCCTTTTTCCTCGCTCTGTTGGCCTGCTGCTAGTTTAATTGATGTGGAATGTGACAGAGTAAATAATTGGACATTTCTAATCATTGTGATCAAAGCAGCCATTCTCTGCGTTGATAGCAGTTGCGGGGGCAATTGGGGACTGGTGGTCAGTACTACAAGCAGTTGTAACTCAATAACTGTACAAAGCAGGGAGTCATTAACTGTGTTGGGCTTAATATGCTGGAAAGAAGGATTGTGTGTTGTGCATGAGTTTAAACTATGTTAAATTGGTTGGAGCTGATATTAAAAAAAGCTGTTGTTTAGCAGACCTCCTCACAGTGCCAACTGTAGACTTCATTGACTTGTAACTGGAACAGAATAGTTTTTCCTGGAAATATTATACGTAATGCTCTTTACTACCTTAAGACAAGCTCAAGTGTGTTTATTTTCCACACAGAGCGCTTAATTCTGAAATATATACTTTCAGCTTCCTGTAATTTTTATTATGGTTCTTTTCTTGTGTAGGAGTACTACACAAAATGTTTTTTTCTCTTCTCTTATAAGTCACTATCCAATGTGACAAATGAATGTGTTTAATCTATGAAAAGGTTATCTTAAAATGTTGTATTTAGTGCACAGACTAGGTGGAAATCCACAATCAGTATTGACAAAATACATCAAAGACAAATTGCACTGAAGGAATCGTGCACTAAACATAATATATTGGTCTACAATGCCTTTTCAGTGGCTAGATGCTAAATTGGATCACCGCAGTATTAATCCACTGAAGGCTTCATCTAAGGCACCTAAGCTCAGCTACAAGGCAGAAGCCTTGGCTCAGACTATGAATTGCACTGTATAGATTTCTGTATTGATCTGTACAGTCTTAATCTAGTCCTTGATATTCAGCACAAGGCCTGGCAATGCTCTGACCTCAGAGGAACAGTTATCATACTCGGCCGCAGTGTGCTGAGTCATCTGTTGGAGTAATTGATTAATCCTTTTTCAAGAAGAGAAGATGGACTGACATATAAATACTGCATCATTTGGAGTATTTTTTTTACCTGTACACTGTCAATGTCAAAATGTTTTCAAATCATTTTAAGATCTTTTTTTTTTAATTTTTAGATTTTCTTTTACAATGTGATAGACACACACACAAAAAAAATTAAATCAGCATACAATATAATCACAATCTATATACTTTATTTTTATTACCCGTTAAAGAAAACATTCTCATTGCAGTGGCAGACAAGTCATCATTGGTGTCTTGTCTGCCACAGAGGTGAGATAAGCAGTTTGTGTTTATTCTTACAAAATGTGCTAATACCACCCATAACAATAATATCTAGTTTAATGTGTTAACATTGCTGGGCCTGGCTGTTTCTCAGTAGAGTGGTTCTGACGGAGGTCCACGTCACACAAGCCACTTGCCCAGAATGGGAGCCATCCATGGGGATCACCACTCTCTAACACCCAGCTCCACCCTACTCAAGCTCTGGATGGTGGGTGGAGGACCAAGGCCTAGGTCTAAGATCAATAACCTCCAGAACCACTGATGGGCTTTCACTTGTCTGACCTTTGAAGGGATAGTTAGTTTTTATTGAGTGGTAACTTCATCCCATTTTAGGCTTTAATTATAAAAAAGAGTAAAATGCCACATTTTCTAAAACAGGGCTACTGATTTGGTGCTCAAAATACTAATACAGTGTAAATGTTGATTAGTATTGCACACATAATCAGTAGTAGATGCTGGTTTCAGCCTCTTTTGCATGCTAATGACCAGAAAACAGACCAAATAAAAAGCTTATAAATTACAGATTAATTATTTATCTTTATTGTTGCAAAGGTAGATAGTTGTAAACCCACGTATTGTGCCAACTTGACAACAGAATAATTTGTATAATCAACACTGAAGCAACTATCCCTTGAAATCGTCACACAAAGTAAGGCAGAATCTGTAATTTGGATCACTGTCAGTTTCTGGGTTTTCAAATTGTATCTATATTTTTTTAAACTCTATTTCAAACTAAACTTTCTGCTTGCATATGGAAAATAAAAACATTGTTTTGATTTTTTAAAAAGCACTAAATGGCTGAAAGAGTTTCTTGCAGTAATGCCATAATCCCACTGCTTCTACTAATACAATACACTATTTAGGATAAAGGAGTCCTAACATGTGCTGCGATTGCTGTGTGCTGTAAAATCAATATTCTGTGTACTGCTTTGTATGTATTTTAAAGTTTTTGCTAGTGTATGTTTCTTATTGAACAAATGTTGCAATATTTAAATTAAGCTGACTAACTGCTTTGTCTATTTCAGGTTTACACTGTATAACACTCTTAACAACTGTATTCTAGTTAACTCAAGTGGTCTTTTCTTTGAATGCAAGTAACCAACCTTCTAAGAGCTTTTAAGAGTATTAACGCTTTAACAGAAGCACTTTATGAACCAGTGTCGTGTTCAACACATGTCCCTGTGCTGCTCCTCTCCACAAAATTAAGTGTACCTGTCAAAAAAATCCAGCTTAATGCAATGCAGAAGAGTAGTTCTGTTCTGCCACTGTGGCCCTTGTATTTTATTGTTTTCTACCCTGACAGGGTCATAATGGCAGCTGTCAGTGAAGCCTTCTGGGAAATGCAGTCCTTTGCAAATGACAGGCGCACAGCGAAGCGAAGGGAGCAACACTGGGAGCATGCCACTATTGTCAAACGGATGTCATATTTACTATCACTAACGCACACGTTTCCATTTTTTTCCTTCCCATCTTTCTCTCTGTCTGATTTTGTCCCATTTATTTTTCAACCTCACTCTGCCCCTCTCTCCCCCTTTCTCGCTTTTCTTGCAAACCAGGGATCTAAAAAAGGTTGGAGTGACTATTGTAGGACCGCAGAAGAAGATAGTGAGCAGCTTGAAAGCCCTAGATTCTCACAACAAGAATGGCCCAGTACCTGTTTAAAAAAAATGGACCCGACAAATGAAAACCACCAGAGACCTATCTGTTGGTCTGTGTTGACAGACTGTGTTTGCTAATTGCACTCTAACACAGTGGCTGCATATTCAGACTGAAAATGGCGGAAAAATATGGCATGATTCAAATGATGTCTTTCATTGTTTCATTTGAAAGATGTCCCGGCAGAGAAGTGGAGAAGAGCTCAGTTCAGTTCTACCTGCTAGGTAACTGGCTGACTCAACCCTCTGCCCCTCTGTGCCCAAGTTGAGTTGCCTTACAGACTAAGAGGGGGGTAGAGAGCAGAGAAAAGAGAAGAAGGTCAGAGAGACCTGATCAGGAAGACAAAGGAGAACTGTACTGGGATGCAGGGCAAGGACTGCATTAACATATAGCCGGACGTCTCCATGATTATGGCTTACCCACAGCACGCCCGAGAATCAGCCTGTAGTCCAAGGCAGTGAAACAACTGAAACACCTTGCCAAGAAGGGTACGACGGACAGCAGCAGCTGACCCACTTGTAGAGCCCTCCTGGAGTGAGGAAGTCTGAAGCGTGAGATTTTGTTGCAACTACCTTCATTTACCGTCTCTATCCATGCGAGATCTCAGCTGGAATGGACACACCGAGATGCTAACCGAGCCATTTTACTCTGTAGCTCTGATCTATAGCATTTGCATTCAGTAGACATGTCACTTAAAAGCAATAATGATATAATCAGTGGAATAATTTCATTGTATGGAAGCCATGAGTCTATCACATGTAAAATGTATTGAATGCTGTGCTTTAAAAATAACAGGGGCCATAAATCACTTCACCCACAGATTTTTCTTTATGGTGACATCTGTGTTCTGTGTGCTTATGAACAGATATTGTACAGTTTTAGTGCAGTTCTCTCTGTAACCCCTTTGTGTGAAATCTCAGGATGTATACTTCCTTATGTTTTCTCAAGCAAGGACAAACTGATGGGGAAAATGGAGCAAACTAGAACTGAGAATTCAGGTTAAGATACATGTGCAAGAAAAGGGAAAACAGAGAGATGATGATGAGAGACAACAAGTAAAATCAATGTCAGCCCTCTGCTACTGCTGCTGATGTATTGCAGAAGTGTAATATACTCAGAGCTCACGTTTCTTCTTTAGGGAAGACAAGTTAGCATCATCAAACTCTCACAACTCTCGTTTTCTTTCTAAAGAGTGTAATTTTTGCCTGTGTAAGATCGGTTTAGTAGGTTGAGATTAACACTGCCTATCTGAGGTTATAGTCCAGTAACTTAGGTTTGAATTCATAATTTATTAATAAAAGCCATTTAGGAGTTGTCATTTTGTTTGATTGGAAAAATTTGTGTAAAAAATAGTTTGTTATATTGTAAAATTAACTTTAACCGATTATTTTTGGTGTGTTTAATGCAAAAAAAAAAGTTGAGTGCCTCCTGTAGTTGGACTTGGTTTTGGTTTGACGTCAAGAAAGTCTTGGCCTTCTTTCTCTGTTCTCTTTGGGATATAGAGTTGGTTATTACCTAAACTAACTAGATTTTGCCCTGGAAGAGATGCAGCATATCTAATAGATGATTGCTTTCTGAGATAGTATCCAAGTGCGTCATATCTCCAGTATGGGCTTTCCTAAAAGCACCTTAGAAGACCTTTGTACAGTGAAGTACTTTACGATGCTAGTCTCCTGCTTTGATGTCACCCAGTCAATCCCTCAGTGCAACATGTACCCAGATTTTTTGAACTGGCACTTTGGTACTTTGTGCTTTTGGTTGGGTAATATGTAACAAGAAGGATGCAATATTTAAGTTTCTTCAAGCACTTAGTACGCAGTATTGCAGCACTTTGAAATTAAATGTTATTGCCTTGGCGCTAGATTAAACTTGTCTAACAGACGGGGTGATTTTGGTGCTTTTGGGAAACCCAGCCTTGGTCAGTCTGTCAGTCCTGTCTTCTTTTCTTTGGTCTACCTGTGGATGCTACTGTTGCTGCTATGTGTTTTAATTAGCATGTACATAATGTAAACCATTGTTATTATGGCAACTAGCACTACAGATCCCACTATATGTACATGTCCATCCCTTTTTTTGTACAAATGTTTGTATGTATAAAAGCCTGAATAAAAATTGTGCAACATTTTTAATTAAAAAAAAAGAGAAAAAGCATTTGTATTTTATTTTATCTTGTTTTGAATTATATTTGTCAGCTTTGTTTGTTTTTTTTTCTACAATAAAAAGGCAATTATGATTACGTTATTTATTTGTTAACATTATACAGTGCATTGTTCGTTTTTTGGGAGGGTGGGGGGAGGGGCGTAGAGTAAATACTGTGTCAATGCTGTCTGTGTTTTGGTTCTAGACTTACTTTATAAAAATGACACAGCTGAGAGAGCAATACTGTTATGAGCCCTATATCCAGATTCCTAAATTTATGTTTCAAGTCTGATTCGAGTGTCTGTGTGAGAGTTTATGTGTGGAAATGTAGATCGCCTTGTCTACTAATGTAAAATGATTTGTAGTGGAAACATTTATATTTTTATAATAAATATTCTCAAAATATTTTCCAAAAAACGGATGATGACAGACCTGCTCCTGTGTTTTTTTATTTGATCATGTCGTAGTCATGCAGGCCGACAATTTTTATTACGAGCGCATGATTCACATGTTAAATAGATCACAAGTGGAAGTTGTTGTTTTTTTAATCTAAAACATTATTAAATGTCTTTCTTTTTTATAATTTTACACCCAAGAGAATTTTTTAATCAGAATTCAAGCAATCCCAAAATTAACATTTGAAGTATATAGTCCAAATGATCACTGATAGGCACCATCAAAAACCGCACTCATGGAACTGGTAATGACAATGTAGGGTACTTTACAATAAGAAATAACTGAACCTTCATTTTAAACTCTGTAGGTTTGTGAAATATAAATAAAAAACAGGTAATTTATCATGTAATTAAAATACACAGAATCAAAATTCCAAATGAAAGAAATGATTAGATCTTAGAGTTTAATGTTATTTTATTTAACTTGGTTTAGCTTGTTAGTTAAATAACCATTTCAATTTGGTTCTTACAACCACGATGTCCTATCTACCTCCCCTCACCCCAACTGGTCATGGCCCATAGCTGCCTGTCCCTGATCCTGGTTGTGCTGGAGGTTTCTTCCTGTTAAAGGGAGTTTTTCCCTCCCACTGTCGTCAAAGCACTTTCTGAAAGGGGATCGTGATTGTTTGGGTTTTTTCTGTCCTTTGTTCTTTGTATTATTGTAAGATCTTTACCTTGCAACATAAAACGCCTTGAGACAACTATTGTTGTGATTTGGTGCAACATAAATAAAACAGAATTAAAGAGAGTACACGTGTGTCACATTAATTTTCAAGAAACTTTCTTTAACTGCTGGAATGAGTTCAACATGATGTTATAAGAACATATTTTACCAGCAGGTGGGGTATCAGGATGAATCATACCTTTATTGGAATGGTTAACGAAGAAATCAGTTTCAAAACTATGATTGATTGATTGCAATTGATTTAAAAAAAGACACACAGATATATGCAAACATGCCTCTGCCACTTAAATAGGAATCTCAGATTGATAAAACAAGCCAGCAATTTTGTAATTATTCATATTCTGTCTTTGATGTCTACCTATAAACACTTACCAGGATAAAAGAATAACTCCATGTGTGTATATTAAACAAAGTATTAAGATTCCAAAATTCCCCAAACTAAACCAAATGATGTATTTTTCCCATTGTATCAATGCACACCAACTTTTTAAATAAACAACTTTTAAAAAGCTTACATTTAACATTGAAACATTTTGTCATTAATTTGTAGTAATCTGTCTTTTACTAACATCCTGTCTGTTATAGGTTTGTCACAAGACACATTCCAAACCACTTATTACTCTACTCATCCATGCTGGACCCAGCTCTTCCACATCCTCCACATCTGTTAACCAGCTTCCCACCTCTGCCTCTGTTTTTAATCTCTTCCACTCTCCTCCTTGTGTCCACAGCCACATCTAATAAAGCATTTTGCTTCCGATCATCCATGGTTAAAGTTGATTTGTTTCATGACTTTAATGCGGAAGATCTGTGTTTTCTCTCTATTTTTTCCTCACTGGGAGGAGATGAGATGTGTCAGAGAGGGGAAAGAGTGATGGTTGCTCTGCTCAGTGTTGAATGCTGACATTATCCAGATGGTCCCAGGCAGATGTGCACAGTGAAATGAGAGGACATTGCCCTCCTCAAACAATGAACACAGTATGCTTGACACCGCCACCCATTTTTCTCTTGTTTTTTATCTGGAAGACCTTTGTGGCACTGAAATCGCAAGGGTGATGAGAAAAAACAGAGGGAGAATGAAAGTGGGGGAGGTACAGAGAGTGAATGTTAACAGATTATGAAGCCACAGACCAGAGGATAGAAGGCAGGTGTGCTAAACACATGATGCCGGTGGTAGTTCTGCCTAAGCAGATAAGAACTTTTCAAACAACGGCATACTATCACGGAATAATGCAAGAGAAGATTAGCCAACAGTATTCATCACCCTGCTTGGCAGATACAGAAAGCACGGTTCCAGTTGGAGAGTAATGATAATGAGAAAACAGAGTCATGATGTGTAAAATGAATTTCTCACTTTGAGCAGGGGTAACATGCAATCATGAAAAATACAGCTTTACAGTAACATACTGGTCCTCTTTCTAGGATCTGCCAAACACCACTGTTTCCGTTTGGCCTCAGACATTTCAGAACAGTCAATGAAACTGTTATTGCTGTGGTTTTCAAATCATCTCCCCAACCCTGTGTGTTAGACACCAGGACAATGAAGAACAATAAAGAAAATGTTTTATGTTGACTTGAGGCCAGTGTTTTTAATCTGGTGTCAGTCATTTTTCCATCATCTTCAAGGGTCCGTAGTTTGTGTTTAGATTTTCTGCTGAAGTTGTGGTTAATTCTTGAAACTTGTTGGTGTACACATCCTGTGGAGCTTTTGTAGCCACATAAATACAGCTGATGGAAATTAACCTGATTCTTATGGAGAACGAGTCCTATCCTCCCCATGTAGAGATATCTCCTTCCTTTGAACCCTGTTCTGTGGCCTACCCTCATCGCTCTGTCTCCCCTATCTTCCCTTTTGGTCTTTGGTAAAAACAGGTCTCCAGCTGTGTGCAGCTGCTTTACAGGGCCTGACGACATGTTGCAAACTTCTGTTGCTCTGGTGAGCCAGTTCTGCTGTGAGGATGACATCCTTGTAACTTTACTTCCCGGATTTAAACTTCACTGAAAAGGAACCAGGGTGTCATGTGTTAATTATCGTTGTTTCACACCAGGTTTATCTGTCTGCAGCAGCATATTATGAATAAATACAAGCTGTGTACCTCCAGTGTTCTTCAAAATGTGCAAGAGCACACACAGAGCGGGGCAGTGCTGACACAACGGAAATCTTATATGAAAACATATACACTGCAGGGACCACTAAGCTGTCACACACGTACCGGTGCACACATTCAAAGATACTGTAGATGGATGTTTGTTGGTGGCTTTGTAATGTCTGTGTTCTCTATGGAACCTAAACACATCCTAACTCTTCAATCATTTTATTACCACATTCTGCGCTATCATCACAGCACACACTAACACACAGGTCCCAGGACTACAGTGCTCAGACTGCTTCTGTCATTTTAACAAATGGCACCATCACAAAGGGAAGTGAAGCTATCATCACAGCCTCTACACCACTACTGGATATTTGTCTTTTTTTAAGTGGAAACTACAAGTAGGTGTGCTTTTTGATCAACTTGGGCCCCAGGTGGAATCACTGTCACTGAGTCGTCTCAAATGAAATGACCTCGAAAAACTTTTTGTTGTGTTGTTTGATTGAGTGCATTCTCAGCGCAAACCCTGTCTTATGATTTCTTTTTGGATTAACGTTAACATTTTAATGTTTGTATATGGTTTGATTTTTTGATTTCAAATGTTAGAATAGTTCTCCAAAAGGATTATGGATGCGGGTGAAAGCCAATTTAAAAATGTGTTCTTTATAGACCTGAATTTATACCTACATTAGAACTAGATTAACCTCTTAAGCCCGAAGCCTACCTGATCTCCTGCCTTTTGCCCCCGTATCAGGGGGCGTTGGGGCTTAAGAAGTTAAAATAGTTTTTTTGTGAATAACTGCATGAATACGCTTACCAGTTACTTTGTTAGGTATGGCTGTTCAGTTGCCCGTTAACACACGTATTTGATTAGCCAGTCACATGGCAGCAGCTCAATTCATGTTCAAAACAACCTCTTGAAGTTTATATTACGCATCAGAATGGGGAAGTAAGATTATTTAAGTGACTTTGAATTGGACATGGTTGTTGGTGCAGGGCAAGCTGGTATTTCAGAAACTACTGATCAGCTGGGATTTTCTCACCCTACCATCTCTAGGGTTTAGAGAGAACAGTCTGAGAAAGACAAAATTTGTAGTGAGGGCAGTTCTCTGGGTGAAAATGCCCTGTTGAAAGTGAAAGTCGGAGGAGAATGTCCTGCCTGCTTTGAAGACTTAGGAAGGCAAGAATATCTCAAATGACTCATTACAATAAAGGTATTCAGCAGAACACCTGGCAACTTGTCAAACCTTGAAGAAGATGAGCTACAGAGAAGACCACACCTGGTGCCAGTCTTGTCAGCTAAGAACAGGAAGGCTATAATTTGCACAGGCTCATAAAAAATGGTCAAAATGGTTATTTGAACATGAGAATTAGTTCACTGCACATAAATGGCCACCACAGTTATCAAATTTCCAACAGTGCACCTTTGTTAAATGATGGAGTGGGAGATATGCACATGAAGAAAAACAAAAACCTGCAGCAACTGTGTGATGCTATCATGTCAGTATGGGACAGCATTTCTTCCCAGCACCTTGTTAATTAATGCAGTTCTGAAGGAACTGTACTAGCAAGGCATACTTAATGCCTATGCAAATTTTTGTGTTTAATTTATTTATCCCAGCCTGTCACCCTTAGCCTCTGTCGTATAGAGTGATGAACTTGTTTTTTTGCAGTACCATTGGTTGTTGCTTATAGAGATTATTTAGACTGAGGTGTTCCATGCCTGCTAAATAATAGGATATGCTAGACTACACAGTTGTATCCCTTTTGCT